CTAAGACACAAACTATTAATCAAAAGATGAGTAACTTGCCCAAAGATCGGATCGTACCATCACGACCTTTTGATAAAGTTGGTTTAGACTTTGCTGGTCTCATATTAACAAAACCTAATTTGAAGAGATCTAAGGTTGTAATTAAATCTTACATCGCTATATTTATTTGCTTCAGTACTAAGGCTACTCACTTCGAGGTTGTCTCAGACTTGACAACAGATGCTTTTTTAGCTTGTTTGAGAAGAGTCATTTCGAGACGTTCAAAACCGTCGATTATTTGGAGTGATAACGCATCTAACTTCAAAGGACCAAGAAATGTTTTGAACTCAATGCTTGAACTTTGCCAGTCAAACTCTGTGAAGAACTTTAGTGCTGAAGAGGGAATTCAGTGGCATTTCACACCGCCTGCGTCTCCTAACTTTGGTGGTCTGTGGGAAGCTNCTAATATTAAATCCATGAAGAGAATACTCTTGAAAGTCACAAAATCTAACTTACTAAATTTTGAAGAACTGACTACGCTCGTAGTGCAGATCGAAAGTATTCTCAACTCACGCCCACTTTCGCCCATGTCATCAGACCCTAACGATCTGCAGCCGTTGACACCAGGACACTTTCTAGTTGGAGCTCCGATTATGTCATTTCCTGAACATCATACTGCTCCAGATTCTTTTTCTCTTTCTTCCAGGTGGAGCCTGATTCAACGTCTGAAACACAGCGTTTGGAATAGATGGAGCCATGAATACCTGAGTCAACTACAAACACGTGCGAAATGGACTTGTCAACAAGAAAATCTGAAAGTTGATCAACTAGTCCTTCTTAAAGATCCTAGTAAGACAGCAATGCAGTGGAATCTGGCTAGAATTGTGAAAACTTATCCTGGAGAAGACAATCTTGTTAGAGTGGTTGACGTCAAAACAGCTAGAGTATTTTATAGATGAACCACCGTTAGCACATATTTTAACCGATTTATTGAAATGTATATTTTATAAACAATTGTAGGGCTACTTAAAATCTTGAGCAGTCTATTTAAATCGCTTAGATTCATTTAAGATGCTTTAGCTCATGAAGTATGAATATAAAATACAATCGAATGCTTTTATAATTTTATATTTGAAGAGTAAATTATGTTATTTTATAATTCAAATGGAAATAGATCAGATAACACATTAGAGACTCAAATAACGTCTCACAACACAACACCAATGCAAGTTAAATTTTATACGTGCTTTCAATCCGATTTCAAACTTAATTTACAACATATTAGAGAAAAATCTATTGAAATTAAACATAACACATTCATAAAAAAATAGTAACTTTTACTTACTTCGATATCTCTTTAAATCTTCGATATAAAATCAAATTTTGCTGCAACATTCACGTGTAAACAACGCTCGTCAATGGCGTTCCTATGTTAGAGCTACAGACGCTATTGCCTTCTCTTCGTGTCGTCACGGGGTTGAAATCGTTGAGCCAGCAGGCCTTAACCTTCTAGTAGGTGTTGGCCAATTCTCATTGTTTATCTGAATTAGGCGAGACCTGTTAATAAACGGTTTTTCTCAGAGTTTCCAGGATGGATACCATATTATTTAACGGTATGTGGGGGCGGAATTATCAACCATGCCAACCTTCATCTATCAAAAGGTATCTCGAGATTGAATCAAGTTAGCATGTCTTATATACCAGTGAATTGATGTTTAATATTCCTAGTGGTAGTTACGCTACAATACCCTCCTATTAGAAATTTATCAGGGATAGAATTCGATGAATTGATAACACTAGTTGCTGTACTTGTAAAAGACCGAGAGAGCCTGAATGTGAAAGGTGTATTAACATCACGTCGTAGCATTTTGCAGTCACAAGTAGCAAGTCAACTGTTCAATATGGACTATCCTTTGAAGTAGGCGTTACTGTCATGAGTTTTGCGAAGTGGGCGTTACTGCGTGTTCAAATCACGTCCGCAGGTCACCAATGTAGGGAGTTAATTATAGACTATGCCAACAAACATCTATCAAAAGGTACCTCGTGATTGAATCAAGTTAGCATGTCTTATATATCAGTGAATTGATGTTTAATATTCGTAGTGGTAGTTAAGCTACAGGTATATTAAACTGTT